CGGCCAGGCAGCGCAGGGGGGCGAAGCTGGGGCTCAGGCACTGGCGAGGAAAGGGTTAAATGGGTCAAAAATGGACCAAAATTAACCCAAAATAGACCCAAAATCCCACCCGGAAAATCCCGGATTTGTGAATCCCAAAAATCCCCAAAAGAGCCCCAAAACGGCCCCGGCCAGGCAGCGCAGGGGGGCGAAGCTGGGGCTCAGGCACTGGGCAGGAAAGGGTTAAATGGGGTCAAAAATAGTTCAGAATTAACCCAAAATAGACCCAAAATCCCACCCGGAAAATCCCGGAATTAAAAACTCCAAAAATCCCCAAAAGAGCCCCAAAAGGAGTCCAAAAAAGCTCCAAAAAAAACCCCAAAAAACTCCAAAAATCCCCAAAAAGCCCCAAAACGGCCCCGGCCAGGCAGCGCAGGGGGGCGAAGCTGGGGCTCAGGCACTGGCAAGGAAAGGGTTAAATGGGTCAAAAATGGACCAAAATTAACCCAAAATAGACCCAAAATCCCACACGGAAAATCCCGGAATTGTGAATCCCAAAAATCCCCAAAAGAACCCAAAAAAACCCAAAATCCCCAAAAGCGCCCCCGGCCAGGCAGCGCAGGGGGGCGAAGCTGGGGCTCAGGCACTGGGCAGGAAAGGGTTAAATGGGTCAAAAATAGTTCAGAATTTACCCAAAATAGCCCCAAAATCCCACCCGGAAAATCCCGGAATTAAAAACACCAAAAATCCCCAAAAGAGCCCCAAAAGGAGTCCAAAAAAGCCCCAAAAAATCCCCCAAAAATCCCCAAAAGAATCCCAAAAAATCCCCAAACAAATCCCCAAAAAACTCCAAAAATCCCCAAAAAAGCCCCAAAAGGAGTCCAAAAAAGCTCCAAAAAAAACCCCCAAAAATCCCCAAAAGAATCCCAAAAAATCCCCAAAAAAATCCCCAAAAAACTCCAAAAATCCCCAAAAAAGCCCCAAAAGGAGTCCAAAAAAGCCACAAAAATCCCCAAAAAAGCCCCAAAAATCCCCAAAAAAGCCCCAAAAGGAGTCCAAAAAAGCCCCAAACCCACCCCGAAAAAATCCCCAAAAAAGCCCCAAAAACACCCCCAAAAGAATCCCCAAAAAAGCCCCAAAAGGAGTCCAAAAAAGCCCCAAAAAAAACCCCAAAAACTCCAAAAATGCCCAAAAATCCCCAAAAAGCCCCAAAACGGCCCCGGCCAGGCAGCGCAGGGGGGCGAAGCTGGGGCTCAGGCACTGGCGAGGAAAGGGTTAAATGGGTCAAAAATGGACCAAAATTAACCCAAAATAG